GCCCTGGAGCCGTTTCTTGTAAAAATAGCAGATTTCTTTGAAGCGCGAAGAATTTTAGGTGGTAAAAGATACTCCTTTGAATACTTGGTACAAGTATACATGTTCTCTTCGTCAAGGGTTCAATTATTCTATGTGGACATGGTTCATTTGACCGTTTGGCCCAATACATCATTTTCCTATCGAGACCCTTTTTGGCTCATCTTGACTTCTTCGAGGGGGTGATCTCCCGGGGGGAAGCCCCCCCAGTATTCAAGGTTAATTGAAGAGAAGCCTTGAATACTTGTTAAGTTCTCTTTAGGTAGCATATGGATGTTGCCTCGTTAAAAACCTTGCCGGTAAAACCTTTCTTGGGATAAAATCCGATTGAAGGAAAAGAGTGCAACGCATGCTGTAAAACCTAAGGTCTTCAAGCTGGAAAGTGCTTCGATTGTTCTAACCGGACTCCTGCACATAGGTTAGTGAAAAATGTAAATAAAAGAGACACGGTTATACCTTAGTGGAGATGGCGCTTCAAGCCTCGATATGCTTCAACTGCTTGCTCCGGGGACGCGGTACGGTCCTTTGCTCATTTATTCGGGTGCAGCCGAGAATGTAGCTCGTGATTGCTACTTCACCATTTGCTTATCCTTTGGTTCCTTCGATGTTGGAGGCGTCGATATTGGTGCCACATCGTGCACCGCGAACATCTCCCTTGCTGCATGTTGTTCCCCGTACACAGTTTTTATTCCGTCCTTCATCGGAAACTTCATCATTTGATGAAGGGTTGATGGTATTGCTCTCATGCAGTGTATCCATGGCCTTCTGAGCAAGGTGTTGTACCTCATGTCTCCTTCGATGACATGAAATTTGACATTTTGGGTCGTGCCTGCCACGTTGACCGGGAGGGTGATTTCCCCTTTCGTTGTCTCGCTCGCCATGTTGAATCAGTTGAGGACTTGAGAGGCGGGCACGATCTGGTCAAGTAGTCCGAGCTGCTCCACCACCCTCGACCTGATAATGTTGGCCGAGCTACCTGGATCTACAAGCACACGCTTAATTTGAAATGTATTTACAAGAAAAAAATTACCAATGCGTCGTTATGATGCTGAGACAGGGTCTCGATGTCCTCGTCGTTGAATGTGATAGCGTCCTTGGGTATGTAACCTCGAGTTCGCTTCTCCCTAGTGATGGATATTTTTTTCTTTTGACAATGTGTTCCTGCGGGATGTCGATTCCTCCAACGATCATGTGGATGACATGTTGTGGCTCATCTGATTCATTTTTCATGTTTGCTTCTCTTTCCCGAAATTGATTTTTGGCTCGGTCGCTAAGGAACTCTCGGAGGTGCCTTTTGTTGATTAGTCAAGTTACTTCTTCTCGGAGCTGTCTGCAATCTTCGGTCCTATGACCGTGTGTGCCATGAAATTCACACACCAAGTTAGGGTTCCTTTGCAACGGACCTGATAGTACGGGTTTTGGCCACCTGGTGTCTCTGATTTAACCGATGGCAGATATGCTGTCCGAAACATCAATGTGGAAGTTGTATTCAGACAATCAGGGTGCCTCTGTCGGTCCTGTATGTCTTGAATCCGGCTCTGCTCACGAGTCCTCGAGGATTCTGGCCTTGATTTGTCCTTCGGCCATTTCGGGGTATGTTACGCCTTGGGGCGTTTCTTCGATCTTCAGTGTATGTTTGATACCTTTCTTTGTTTGGCCTTGGTTCCTTCGCGAAGAGCCTGCTAGGATATACTGAGCCCGAGGGGGCTCCTAGTTGGTCGTCCTCGACCCTAATCTTTGATTGATATCGGTTGTGGACATTCGACCAAGTCACGACGGGATATTCAACCAAGTTCTGCTTTAGCTGCTTTGAAGCTACTGAGCTTCGTTCGTTCAAACCTTGGGTGAAGGCCTGTACTGCCCAGTCATCGGAGACTAGCGGTAACTCCATTCGCTCCATTTGAAAGCGAGATACAAACTCCCGTAGCATCTCGTTTTCCCTCTGTTTGATTTTGAAGACGTCGGTTTTCCTTGTAGCAACCTTGATGCCGCCGGCGTGTGCCTTTATAAAAGAATCTGCTAGCATGGCATATGAGTCTATCAAATTTGGGGCTAGGTTGTGATACCACATCATGGCCCCTTTTGAAAGTGTTTCTTCGAACTTTTTTAGCAGGACGGATTCAATATCGTCGTCCTTCAGGTCATTGCCCTTCACCGCACAAGTATAAGCAGGGACATGCTCGTTGGGGTCCGAGGTTCCGTTGTACTTCGGAAGATCGGGCATTTTGAATTTCATCGGGATGGGCTTTGGAGCAGCATTTTGTGGGAGTGGATTTTGCACGAATTTTTTTGAATCTACACCTTTCAGGATCGGGGGTGCGCCCGCAATTTGATCGACCCTTGAATTGTAGGTCTCCACCTTTTTGTCATTGGCTTCTATCTTCTTTTCGCCCGATTCAATCCTCTTCGTGAGGTCCTCGAGAATCTTTATGATAGCGGGGTCTGCTGCTGACCCGTTGTTTCTTGATCTTTCTGGTACATGTTTGGCTCGAGGAGTCATTTCCGGTGCTGCTGTGCTTGGAGTTTTTTTATGGCTTTGCAGTTGAGCAATCGCCAGCTGTTGTGCCTGTAAAATCTCAAAGATGACGTGAAGGCTAACCTCTTGTTCCTCCCGGGCCGGGGTTTTTTGAGCTTCTTGTTGGTTTTCTTGGCGTATATTCCTGTTAATGTGTTGGACGTTGCGTGAGACCACATCCACGAGAATTAGTTCTGGTGCATCCTCAGGGTTTCGTGGTGGTATACCAATACCTGGAACAGCTACACCACTCTCTCCATGGTCCTCAGGGCCGTTGTTTTCGTGTGCATTTACTGAGTTAAACATTGTGACCTGAAATCAAAGATTCTTAGACAAGAACAGGTGTGAAAGATAACTTGCGTTATTTAGTAAACCAGCACGAAAACAATCACTATTATTTTTAGCCCCACGGTGGGTGCCAAACTGTTTACCTTGAAAATGGTAATTACAATTAGATTTGATTTTGTGGTTCTAAAAATACTTGATTTATTTTTATGCTAGTTGTTAGGCAGTAGATGCTAAGTGTGAGACTAGAAAATAAGTTAAGGGCTTGAAAATAGTATAATATACGAACCAAGTGGCCGAGAATCGGGGTCTCGAGCTATCCTATGATGGGCCTCGAGGTTAAGCTAATGAGCTCGATTGGAGATGGCTGATGAAAGACTAACAGTTCTAAGAGCTTTGATGAGGGCTCTTTATGATCAATGATGAGTAATAAATGAAGAACAATCAATGAAACACAATAAATGTAAGCAATGTAATAAATATAAGCAATAAAATCAAGGGAGAATATATTTAAGTTAGAGAGCAGAGAATGTTCTTGTTCTTGTATTGAATATCATATGTCTTACAAATGATAAGGGTCCCCTTTATATACGAGGGGGAATCCCAACATAGTACAGATGCATTTATTACAAAGATATGTGGCTAGTACAACCATTTAATGCCACGGTATGGGCTTGTACTAGCCTAGTAGACTTGGTCGGCTTTAATCACGAGCCTTGGGAATTTCCCATTTATCCATCATAGTCACTGATTTGTACTGCCCCAAGGTCGAACATTGAGAACCCTCGGGGTCGAACCTCGAGCTGCACCTCGAGCCTTCTGGAGAAGGGCTATAGAATGCCGCAACGATCATAAAAATCGGACTCTCCAATTTTAGCCGTATACATGAACCTATTGCTAAATTCGCCATTGATGAGGTGAATGTAGCATTTCAGCAAAGAAAGTGAAGGAATTTTGAGTTACGTTACATTAAGAGTTGAACTAGCTGTATCCTTGTACTAGAATTTCGTAGTTGCAAGAATATTTTGTTTTCGAGAAAAGGTCCACTTTCCTAATCAAAAGATAGGAGAGCACCCCTTCTCCCAAGTTACGGGGTCATTTTACCAGTCGAATATACGATTAAAAGTGATTAACGTAGCCTCTTCAGAAATTGATGCGAAATCGGCGCACACATTTAGTTCGCGTCCATTGTAGGGGTGTTAATGGATATTTGTAAACCGACAAAACCGACCGAACTGTACCGTATCGAACCGATTTTTGGGTTTCTTTTAATAAAGCCAGAGGTTTTTATATAAATTTATAACCGTACCGATAATTAGGGTAGATTTTTATTGTACGAAAATAAACCGAAAAATACAGAACTGTATCGAATAAATATATTTATATATTAAGTTTAAAATTATAAAGAATTAAATTTTTTCTTGGACCTTGGAATTATGAAACAGTTACAAGCCAACAAGTAATTAAACTCAAAATCCTAATTCCCAAACCTATTATGCTACTTCTATTGAAACTAGATTATTTCCAGCAAATTCACGAGCAAGACACAAGGTATTGTAGTGATTATGTGTCGCAAACTACAATGTATTGAATATGTTTCCTTTCGTATGATTTAGATTTATCTTTTTGAATGTTTAATCTTCTATAGACTTTATCATGAATCCCAACTTGGTTAATATCTTTCCACTCGCGTGATTAATATTTTTTCTTGTATTTGCTTAGTTTCTTTTACGATGTTGTAGAATAATTGATGGATATATACTCTAGTCATCTTTCATATTTTCTTAATTTATCACCTTTTAAACTGTAAAAATGTTATTGCATTCAACTTTTACTAGTAACTTTTACATGACATTTAAAATAATTATTGAAAATTAACCGAACCGTACTGATACCGAAGAGAAACCGACATGATTGGGACGGTTTTGAAAAGTCTAATTTTGGTCTTACATAATAGAATAACCGAAAAATTGGTATGGTACAAATTTTATTAAATAACCTGCCGAACAGAATCATTGACACCCCTAGTCCATTGTCACAAAGAAATAGTGAACTCAGCGTCACTTCTATAGTTCCACTGACCTAAAATTCTGACTTTTATCTCGAATAACAGCCACAAAGATTTTTTGAAACACAGTCAAAAGATGCATTTGAAAATGCTGTATGATCCAGAAGACATTATGTAGCATTGCTCCTGAATACAGAATCAGTAACCCAATCAACCCATTGATGGTGTCCTAAATTATGGGCTACAAGGACATGTACAAGGACTCCATATCTAACAACTTCACACCTGAAAATTCATAAACAAACTCACCTAATCTGTTTTACCTCATCTCTATAAATCAAAGTTGATAAATTACAGCCTCATTCACATAGTTAAGTTAATGTAACAGCAGGAGGATGACCTGCAGGGCATCTTTGCCTCCTTGGACGTCTAGTCGTCTTGCCCCACCCTGTTAGACTTTTGTCCTCCAAACTTAGAGGAGGGGTTATTGGGGACGACACAGTGGCAGGGGCGGTTTCAATCACCATCCTCCGCCTTCCCCGTTTACCGCTGCCATTCCTTCTCATGGATCCTGAGTTCCAAGAATGGCCCATAGCTTTCATCAACTCTCCGAATGTCTGAATGTCTTCGGTCACCTCGTGCCTTGACAACGAAGCCAGTCCAGGAAGGATATCCCTTTGAAAGTCCCTCCTCTGCCTTCCCCACCTTCCATTTCCTCTTCGGGTTCGCTTTGTTAGTGAAGTGGCTCCTGCATCTTCCACTGGTTGGACTTCAGGAACAAAAGGCTTGGGCAAGTAGTCTTGTTCCTTAGTCTCTTCTAGTTGCAGTGTCACTGCCTCAAAGTAATCCATCTCCACAGTAGTAGTAGTAGTAGTAGTAGTAGGTGCAACAATCATAGCATCCTTCGCTATTATTTCTTTAGTCTTGCTCGTGAATTCATTGTCGAAAGAAAAGACTACGTCAACAAACCAACCTAGGGATCCCAGTGGATCATCAGATGGATCGCTGGAACTTTCGTCAATAAAATTGAACTGACTGGACGATGAAATGGATACTATTGCTTCAGCTGCGTTCCTGATAACTTCATCCTGTGTTTTGTCAAGTTTGGGCTCCGGCAACTGCAAAGATGCATCATTTTGTTTGTCCTTCTCTCCAGAGAAATGATCTTCTTCAGTTTCCAGAACAGGAAGAGCTTCCAGATCTATCTCGATGACAGTCCTCACGTTGACATTATTGCTTTCAACAAAGAATGAATCTTCATCTTCAGTAATACATGAGTTCAAATCGAAGGAATTTCTGATAATGGTAGCTTTTGTCTCCATCACTGTCTCAGCAACAACTGGTTCAGTGGAAGCCTGTTTCTCGGGCTCAACCACAGAAAGGTCACAAGCTATGTTAATGTCAATCACCATATTCCTCCGTTCATGTCTTCTATTTTCTCCCTCAGTTGAGGAATGAAGAGTAGCAGAAGTGGAAACAAACAAAGATGACTCATTTTTGGAAGCACAAGGAATTTCAGGAATTGGAACCCCCAGAATTTTCCTTATACTTCGGGTTTCCCCCAGCTCCTTTCTGGCCTTCATGGTGCAATCTTCTAGAGTTGGCACCACGTTCTGCGCATAGGAGACATTGCTGAGATTTTTTGATGGACCACTTCCGCAGATAGGTGAGTTTGCGCAGGCTTGGATGAAGCCAGAGTCCGCTGGGTTTCCACCTTTCATGGTATTCGAACTCACATTTCTGAAACTTGGCTTAGCTTTAAGCCACGGAAACACTGGTATACAATCTTGAGGCTCTCTTTTTGCCTCAACCAACTCAAGATCTCTCCTGGAAAGTTCCTCATCTAGTGAACTCTTTGATAGTACATTCAAATCGAAACCTTTGTCGGACGTCAAGTCCATATTATTGGAGCTAATAAGATATTTCTCACACCTATTATTAGGGGAGCACTCAGATGTCAAGTCGTCACCCTTGTTATGCTTCCGAGAATCAAAATCAACAGATAAGAAAAGGGGTGAGTCTTTGGGCCCCGATGAGGACCCATGGTGAAATCCATTCCTGATGGAGAGATCAGTAGCCAAACCTAGATTTGACGTAGACCCTCCACTGATATGCCGCTTGTCTCCAAAAATTGCATTGCTCTGAGGTGACTGTGGACTCTTGCTGACCATGGCAGATGAGTTAAATGACGGGTTTGTATGCCCTGATGATAGCATTATGCCACTTGGTTTACCCCAAGAAGAGAGAGTGTGTGACCATGAATTGGAAAATTCTGAGGAATTAGAGAATGGATATGGACTAGACGTATGAGAAGTGACAAATGGTTTCCCATATGTATAGTTGGACTTCTCATGATATCTGTAAAAGGTCTCTAAACTATGCACTGTTCTCTCCCTCCAAAGGTCATCCCTGATATGATGAGGTGATTGAACCCCAGGAGTTAGACAGGCTTTGTCAAGCATTACTTTTGCCGGGTGGCAAGGTGTAGATAACTTGTTTTGTGCAAAACTAAGAGGTAGTGGAGCCAAGCTACCTTTAATGTTACCTGCAAAAGGAAGGAAACACCTGACATACCATCACGAAAATGCAATGAAGGAGGAAATTTTAATGTGCAAGCAACCAAGTCAAGATTAGGCGCATACAACCAAAACTCTGGCCGTTGTATATACAATGTTTCACAGGTATTATTTACCTGTCTCATATGTAGAAGAGTACCAGTCTCTCTCTTTGCCTTTACTACCAAATGCTGGATTTGATTTAGCACAAGCATTTAGATCAACAGGTGATGGGGTTACTTCTTCAAGCTGAGCTGGTTCATTGAGATCAGCTAACCTGACCGAGGTTCTCAAACATGAATTGGATGCTGAAGCATCTCTTTTATCACTCTTGGTACCAGCATCAGCACCAGGACAAAATTTCGTACTACTGTCTCGGTCAGCTGTATCATTTCTATTAGCACAAGATCTTGGACAGAACGATCCTTCATTATCTCGCAACTGCTCATCAGCTTCATCTGTTTCTATGTAATCATCAGCTGGAAGTTGAAGATCAAACAACTTTTTCCGCACTTTTGAGGGCCTAGCCTCAGAAACTTCACATGTATTTGAAGAGCAACTATTTTGTATTTGAGATCGACCAGACTGTACATCGTTCACCTTTGAAGAACTCAAGGGAGAATTTAGAATTTCAGTACCAGATATAGATGGTCTAGCATAACTTGAATTTGCTACGGGGAAGCTGGTGATTTGGCATTTCCAAGCATCTTTAGGTGGAAGATGGGATCCGAGAAGGCTTGATGAAGATGATGGCTCCATTGATGTCCAAGGTTTATGCAATTCTGTCCGTTTAATTTCATACATCATGTCCCGCTGGGTTCTGTAAAGGCGATGAAGTTCCAATACCTACAAACAAAGATTTACATAAGTAAACTTTGCAGCAATACTGGAAAAAACGTGTAAAAAGGGACAAACTACTTCTGTAGATATATGCAAGAGGACCAGTATAAAACGAGATTAAAAGCTTATAACTTCCTCGATTTGACAGAAAATTAACGTTGACAACTAGAGATAGAATTACCTGATTCTTGAATGTTTCCTCGTGTTCAAGTATTTTCTGCTTTAGAACATCTTTATCGTATCCAGGATCTTCATCTATCATAATCCTTGATATGAAACCATTACGGTATTGCGCATTTGTGTAGATTTTCTCTCCATAATGTAGGGGCCATCCATTGTTTGAATCCTCACTAAGGTAGCTCATGGATTTATAAGCTGGTAAGTAGCTTTTGCAATGCACTTGTGTTTCCATTCCTGCCGACAGTAGGAATCAAATCATATAAATAAAACCAAACAGTATTTTCTAACTATGAAATCAAAGCTTAAATTTTGAAGTTCCTTTCTTATTATTTTCAATTTTCTCGAATATCAGTCTAAGTTAGCAAACTGATGGGAAGAGTAAGACAGTAACGCTAATTGGCTGAATGCACAATATCTGCAAGTACTATTTCGCACTAAACATCATGACATCATTGGCACAATCCTCATTCAAATCTCACATAGTTTAAGTGCCAAAATCTACATAACAGATTTGTATTTTGAACTTATTGTACTTCCTCTGAAGAAAAACTTTCGGGAGCTCCCTGAAGAAATTCGATGAACATGAGAAGACCGATGGCAAAGCTCCCCTCTCAAGGAAGAATGTTTCTTCTTCAAGTGTATCTTTCAAGAATTAAAATACAACTTTTCACAGTACATTAGTCTCCCATTTTCTGTCGAGATTCTCATATGAGCGAATATGGAGATGATAAACTGATGATGCCTGGTAAGAACATGCAAGAAGGAGACTTAATGGTGAGTCTACCTAGAGAACTTGCACTACAGAAACCCGAAAAATATGGATATTCCTTATAATTACATTTAGTACTGTTCTGTCACCAAACAAACGGGGAAAAGCAGGAACATTTTTCTTCACAAAGGCCAAGCTATACTTCATAATCGCATAAACTGTTTATGATCACACTCTGCATATGGTTTTTCATTAACAAGCACCATTTCTGAGTGTCAGTCACTCCATATAGAACCAACACAATAGTCCAGCACACCTCACTGGAATCACCTAGAATAATCTAGATTTTCCGACCAGCAATATTTCAATCCAACTCTTCAATTATTGCAAAATTCATAATCTGGTAATGAAGACAGGCAATCTTGCACAAGTCAACGTAGTTGGAAGGTTACAAAAATAGTCCACAAAAGCTGGTGTACTACGAATAAAGCCACCATGTTTGTAGCGATCAAATTAACCAAAAAAGGACCAATGTAGGCGCGTCTACTAATGACATGTCAACATTAACGGATGCAATTTAAATCCTTCGACCAAAACTAAGAATTAGAAGGCATTATATATTGTCAATTCCCCATTAATTTAGACTAACAAACCAACTAATATTCAGAGGTGTCAGCCAAAACTTGGTGATTAGCACTAGTTAATGAATTAAATCGCTCGCATTAAACACTTTATAAACAAGTAAAGTTGCAATATTTTCCCCTTGGAAGTGTAAATGAAGGGGAATTTGTACAAATATCTACAAATATCTCAAACGCTTCTCAAATCCAAGAACTTAACCAAATCTATAAATAACTAGACTACTTCACATGGTAGGGGAAATGTATAAAACCAGAATGACAGAAACCACAAATTTAGAACCCCAGAAGCTGTTACCTTTAAATATAAACATGAATAAATTAACATAATGATTAACGGAAAATGCAAAAAAAATTGAATAAAGCAAACATAGAACACAAGATATCATCTGGTCCTGGGTCTTAAAGTCAAATATGAATAAATCTAAAAATAAGATTTTACCTCAGACCCACATCTTTGAGCCACTTCTCCTTAATACCCCCTTCTTGGAGTATTATACCATCTCAAGAATCATGGAGAATTTGTAGTACCAAACTGAGACTAAGGCACTAAGCCAAAAAAAAAAGAAGAATGAATAAAGAAAAAACAAAACCAGAATAAATAAATAAATAAATAAAAAGACAAACTAAGAAAGAGTAATACTTAATTATTACTTACAACTATGCATAATAACTATAAGGAAAAAACAAAGAGGTTAGTTTGGTAACACCATTGAAGAAGCTGAGATCCTAATAAAACTGAACAAAAGATTAGAGCTTTCGATCTTATGGGGCCACACTGAATGAAATGTTCTTTTAGACAGAGAAAGAGAAAGTGTTGTTGTTGTTGTGGGGG